GATTACGATTAGAATGTTACAATTGGTTTTTAAATTACCGAATTTGGTCGTCACTTTCTATTTTACTTCAGTTTGGTGAACATTAAATTTCTTATTCAATGAAGTATTAGAGATACGAGAACTTTAAATACCAGAAAATTAGCAAGTTACTGTTTGAAATCAAAGAAATTAAATGTTTTAGTTATCAGTAAGTGGACGGGGGGGTTTTATCTTTAACAAAAAATCCGAAACAATTCGCCCAATAATAGAAACCGTTACACACTGGTGTCAGAAGAGAGATTATTTTTGTAAAAATAAAATGGAAAACTAACTTAAATTGACGATAATTTTCAAGACGAGATTAAACATTTACTGGAAACGATGAACAGTAAAAAAGACAATAAAAATATACAGGACTTAAAAAGAAGATCCACAAGAAAGAGACAGGAATTTTAGAGAGAAATTACAACCAGACATAACATTTACAGAAGAATCAACAAAAGGTCTATTCCAAGATTGAGGAAGCTATAGGAAATGTACTGAGGAATTTTAATAAGACTGAAGAAATACAGAAGGACATCAATGAAATACGGCAAGATAACAGCAACAAGGTTGAGAAACCAATAAAAAAATGCACAGACGGATTATAAAATTATAACAAGATTAATAAAGTACAGAAGATATCAATGCCAACGTACAACATGTAGAAAATGAGCTTACAAACTAAATACATCACTATTTAAGAAATGTTGCCACAAGTTTACTTCTCTAGTTAATTTTCTTTGTTTATCGATTGGCGGTAAACAATGATACTGTTGCACGATCTCGTAAGTTTGCCAAGAATCACCCGCAGCACGGGGAAGCAGCAAGTTAATGTTTGTGTTCGTGGAATCTCCAAGATGTCACTCAAGGAATCTGTTTTGATACAACCACATCAAACACTGGGCTAAGTAGTGGTGTTTGCATCTTGATCGAACAAGCTCTGGAAAGAAATATTGTTTAGATTGCCTGCCGACGCTATATATTTGAAATTATGCTTTCAATGGTATTTGCTAGGACTACTAGTTCATCTAATGGACTAGAAATCGGTCTGTTTAAGAGATTCCAAGCACGATGGTTATCATTTGACAAATCTCAGTTCAGGAGAGCCGATATGACGAAGATGTTCGCCTTCTCTTCATCAGCACAATGAAACAGGAAAGGTGCGAATCAATGCTTTACTTGAATAAGATGTTACAAATAAAATCGTATCTCAGAGATGATTACGAAGAATCTTGAAGCTTTCACTTGTGTTTCTAGGAGGCAAGGCTCCCTCTGAAGTGACGTTCAGAGCTCCCGGGGCATATCATCATGCACGTTGGATGGCTAAAGTCATATACGCTATCAAAATATTTCGCTCTCGAGAACAGTTCAAACTGACCAACCAAGAAATCAAGGTCTTAACTCAAGCATGCCCTTTCCCAGCCATGGTCTACGCTCGCTTCTGTAATGAAGCTCCTATAGTGACGACTCACCCTTCAATGACCTCAACATGATGTTAAAGTTATCTGCATGTCCAGATCCTTCAGTTGCCGATGCTACAATGGCAGGCTTCAAATGGCCCTTATGGTATTTATCAGAAGACTTGGTTGGATTGGCTTTGTTTGATGACAGAGTTCAGATAACTACTAAACATGAAATGGTGAAGAATCTTGATATTCCAGAGAGGAAAAAAAACTTTCATCGACTAGAACTTTAATATTAATCTTATGTAACAAAGAAGACTCTTAACTTATTCAACATTTAAATGGGAAAGAGAAAGCAAAGGTGTTCCTGGAGAAAGACCCGGGAGACTGGAAAGGGATTCCGTAATACGAAGAAATGCAGAAGGTAGCTGCTGGGATGAAAGTTGTGAAAGACTGCTTTGATTCAAGTATTTAACTCTTCTATCAATACCGTCTCCACACAGTTAAACTACACCAAACGGCATTTCCGACCCCCAGAAAATAAAATTTTGTCATAAGTAATATGATAAGTTGTAAGGAGGCTTGTGACTGTCATACTCCAATTAATGATAAGGAGACTTGTGTCTGTCATATTTTACTGTTTTAAAATATGAAGTAACTTAACCTCCAAACACTGAGTTGGCAATTTAGAAACTACCCTAACATCTTTTATTCACTTTCATGAATGTAATAATAATCCATTATTAGCTAAAAGCTATTCTTATATAATATGGATATAATTACGTTATTTATACAACTTGCAAACATCAGGTACACACTTTTAAAATACATACCATTTTATTTGTATTTAAAGGACTTTTAAAATTCTAGGTCAATGCCCAAACTATTTTTAAATATTACTATAAAACTACATATTCATAAATATAAAAACTCAAGTATTTTAATCACAATACCACATTCTCAGTAAAAAATAAAATACAGTACTGTCAAAATATTTATAAATAACATTTTGCTTTACTTAAACACGTTATTTATAACTAATAAAAATGCCGTTGTCACTATAAAGGTTAGATTTATGTAGATACATATTCATAAAAAGTCATTATGAAATTATTTACAAAATCTAGCTTCAAAAACATTAAAATAGAATACATAGATATTATTTCAACTCAGCTATACGAGGCTTTTTGTTAGTGTAACTAAGATCTGATAAACTTAACACAGACGTTTTCTTTTGTATACAATTGTTTGTTTTGAATTTATACACAAAGCTACACAATGGGCTATCTGTGCTCTGCCCACCACGGGTATCGAAGCCTGGTTTCTAGCGTTGTAAGTCCGCAGACATACTGCTGTGCTACTGGGGGGGGGGGGTGTTGGATACAAATATAACACAAAAATGGTAAATAAATCTATAAGGAAATAAATGTGTATAATGTTTTATAAAAGCATATGAAAGAAAAACTAAATTTTTATCATGCAGTTTAATTGTGAATTATATCTATAAAATTTACTAGGTCACACGAAAACATTATTTTAAAAATAGTATTTTTAAGTACCTCAGCACTGACACAATATTGTTTGCAAACCAAAAATCATTTCTTTTACATTTCAAGTTAAACATATAAAGTTTCGTGTAAAATTTCTATCAATTGCACAAACATAAGAATAAACTAAGTTACACTAGGATACTCCTGCCAGTTGTGTTATTGTCTTTTAAAACTTTTTGATATACTTTGTCAAGAACTTGCAGATAATTGTTTTCATTTCTAGTTGTGATTTTTTATATATTTTTTGCTACATACCAGTTAAAGTTATACGCTGCACTGTTTTATGCCTACTGTCTATATTCATTGAAAACTGTAAAATAACATATTCAAATTGATTCAAAGAATGAAAAAAAAATACAATTATTTCAATTTATTTTAGGCCTAAACACAAAACTTGGTTGGTGTGGTAGATATCTCTGTTTCGATAGACCATACTATAAATAAGGCAAAAATACATTGTAGTTGTCCCTTTTTCTTCTTTTTTTAATATTAAGCTATAAACCCGTTTTAAAGTTATTATTATTAAGTTGTAGAGTTTAACACTGCTTGTGGTTAATAGGTGATTCTCTAAAACGAAGAACAAAAATAAAAATTTCATTTTTATAATTAATTTCATGGTGTTTAAAGTTAAACGCAAAAAATGAATAATAAAACAAATTTAATAACGAAAAACCTAAATACTTTCAGGGATGATCATTTTTTAAACTTTGAAAGTATTGACTTACAAACTTTTTGAGGAAATGTTCGAAAATATTCATTTTGGACTCGTGTGACTTTTATCATTCTTCAAAATATAAATTTTTAAATATCTATATTACTTAATATGATGACATAAAAATTAATACTACACTTTAATGAAAAAAAAAGAACAACATAAATTAGTATTCATCACTTTTTACAAATTTACAGTAAACCAACTCTACAGCAAATATTCTAATAGTGCGTCATTGTGCGATGCTTGATTCCAGTCGAAGTTTTAATAAAATTAATGCTGTCTGGTGGTAAATAGCGTCACCTAGTGAAAAGACCAGTAACTCTAGAGTAGTAACTACCGATATTTAGACGTTTTATATTTTTACATATCCGCAGTGAAACTTTCCTCTGCATATTTTACTGTTGATAAGTTAAAGTGTGAATGGAAATATGATTTCTTTCCGATGTGCCTGAAAAAAACAACAACAAAAAACAGACAAATATTAAGGTCTTAAATACTTTAATAACACAATATAATAACCATCTTTACAAAACTTATAAATATCACTTAGAAATTTAGACATTAAGTTATTTTAAAAATAAAACCAATTACTTATATTTAAGTGTAAAAGAGCATTGTTGTTGGTTTTGAATTTCGCGCAAAGCTACACGAGGGTTATCTGCGCTAGCCGTCTCTAATTTAGCAGTGTAAGACTAGAGGGAAGGCAGCTAGTCATCACCAACCACCGCCAACTCTTGTTCTACTCTTTTACCGACGAATAGTGGGATTGACCGTCACGTTATAACGCCCCCACGGCTGAAAGGGTGAGCATGTTTGGTGTAACGGGGATTCGAGCCCACGACCCTCAGATTGCGGTGTAAAAGAGAGCAAAACGACAGTAATTGACGTACAATGAATTTAACAGACAAGACAGCTGTAGCTTTCAGTTAAAGTAAAATTATATAAAGCCAGATAAACTTTGAAACTGTTTTTGTCTTCTAAATAAACTAACCGCGATTATGTATCTATTTCTTGATGTTTTTAACAGCAAAAGAAAATATATATATCCAAAAACTCACAAAAATTAGACTGAATGGTCAATCGTTTATTCACAGTCTTGAGATCGTGAAACTACTAAGTAGGTAGGTGTAAGTTGG